ATCACTTTCCAGTACGATGTGTTCAATGCACGGAAGTACTTCTAGTTGTGTTCAACAGTTATCAACAATATATTTAATTAATTAGCGCATGAACGTGAGCATTTTCATCGGTCAAATCTTATTTTGTGCAGTAGACTCGCGAGTATCCGAGTTGGATCCGAGACTATGGGGTACGTCGACAACTCCGACAGTTACAGTTTATTTCCTCTATCATGAACAAATCTTTTACTAAAAGATTTGTAGACCGTAAATATATGAATTACATAAAATAATATAAACTGAATAATCACGCTTAAGGCGTATCGAGTGGGACAATGCAAACTAAGTTTCGATTTCAAACCACATACTCCATGTTTGACGAGGAAAACCAATGATTATAAAATTTAGGGAAGTACCAATATTGCGAAAATCACTACAGTATAGACCATTTTTAAACGAACTATTCTGTTCCTTTTTCTTGTGAATTTACTCGGGAGAAAATAGAACAAAGAATGTGCATTAAGTTTTGCTTTATGGACGGAATAAAATACTGCACCGTAATGGAAATATTAAATGCCCCTTTTTGCATATCTTCTATGAAGTAAGCAAGTGGTTCAAGTTTTGGTCGTAAAGATGTTGCAGATGATGAGCGTTCTGGACTTTAACCACTGATGACATCGAAAAAAAAGTGAAGGAAATTATCGACAATCACCAAGTTACAATTAGAGACATTGCTAATAACACTGGTATATCATTAGGTTTTGCCAAGCACTTATTTTAAATGGTTTAAGCAGGAAACGTGCGGAAACAAAATTTGTTCGGATTTTGTTTGTATTTTGACTCAAAGCAGTGTCGAATAAATGTTGTTCAAAGCTCCTGAGTGAAGTCAAGGACAATCCAGAACTGTTACACCAATCATAACCGGTGACGAAACATGGGGTATGAATAGATGCCGAAGTAGGGATGTCCCAATGTCCCGTTTTCTGCTTTTAAAGAACTGGTCACCTTAGCCAAAACTAAAAATAGCACATTAAGTTTGATCAAATATGAAGGTTTTTCTCACCGTTTTCATAGATTTCAACGGCGTACTGCGCATGACGTCTTGCCACCAGGTCGTACAGTCAATAAGAAATATTACTTATACGTTTTACGCCCTTTGCAAGAATTTCAAATTTTTAAACTGATAAAGGTGTTTTTAATTTTTTTTCGTCCAAATTGTTTAAAAATCTAAAAAAATATGTGATAGAATGTCATAAGTCACATTCTAGGAGGAAACTGATACAGATCTTAAACGTTATCACATCGAAAATCAATTTCGATTTTTTTCTATTTGAACTTTGAGCCAAAATTGGTTAATAAAAATAATTGCAAATTCAACCATTTTCTCCCGTCTCTCCAATTTGTTTCAACTCGATACATGGAATAGAAGCTGAGAAAAAATAAAACATGAAAAACCTGTTTCTCGCTGAATCACTGCAACTCTGCTCCAGGATGCTGATTTTTTTGGGAACCTACGGCATTTTTTATTCTAGTAAATACGAGTATCGTGATTATCGATTTGGTTGGAAGGCACTTACCCTCCCTTTATTCGGGTATATCCTTTTAAATTCAGATATTTGTTTCACTAGATCACCCTTTTTATCTAATTTGACTGAGCTTTATCCACAATACACGGTTCGTGTAATCAGCATGGAATTAAACAAAAGACAGGACATTAATTGGTATATACGAAATAAATATTTTAAGATATTATTATAAAAGATTTGAGAATAATCAAACGGGATCATTATGCCGACTTTGATAACCATTTGAGTGTTGTAATAATGTGTTACGTTAAGTATGGTATTAAGGGACGAATGTTCTACGTTTAATCAACTTTTCCGATAAACTACAATTTTTTATTTAAATTGATTATTCATCCTCCGAAATTTGGCATTGATAGTTGTTAACAGGGTGTCATTATAATATTACTTCCATTATGAAACTCGTTTGTTAATTGTGGTCTATGATTTATAAGAACACCTGTGTTTTAATAACTTATTACGATACTGCTCTCATCTTTGTAAATTTGACTTAAGTACATCAAAGTCGATAAAACATGTTACGTTTCTTCTCTAAATGTTATTTGCCTCCAGAATTCATGAACATTTTGGTATATTTGCATACTGAATTCAAAGTAATGATAATCCACGTTTTCCTTCTTTTTCAGAATTCCGTTACCAACGGCGAGGTCCCTGTAAATGGCCAAATAAATAAAACCAATCATGTTCATTATATTTAACCCACAATAAATTATGTTTCCTTCCGTTTATTTATGTGTTCTCAATTTCTTTTTTTTCCTAATTCCTCACTACTTAAGAATTAAAATAATATTTGTTTGATTTTTTTGCGCAAAATATGCAAATACACTTTATTGATACATATTGAACAAAAATTAAAATACTCTCATGTATTCAACATACAATATCATTTTTAAAAGGAAGATAACTAAATTGGGGCCATAGAAATAAGAATAACGTTCCAAGCCTATATATTTTAAAAGGTTAATTTTACAATAATATCTTACAGGGACTTTTTGCAGATAAAAATGTCTACTTTAATTGCATGTACAACAGAATTTTGGTAGAGTTGCAAAAAAAGTAGAAAAACTCTTGACTGTCTCTCCCACCCCCTGTTCACCCCTTACACTTCAGAGTTTTTAGTATTATATGTGGTCATTTTTAGTATGATATGTAGTGATACATGGCCTTTTTTTTCATGATTACCGTTTTTCGTCTAATATTACCGAGCTATATCTACGATACACGGTTCGTTCAATGAGCATGGAATAAAACACAATACAGGACATTAATAATTATAAACGAAATAAATATTATAAGATATTGAAGATTTATCAAAGGAGTTCGATAATCATTTGAGTGTTGTAATAAGGGATTACGTTAAGTATGGTAATGAGGGATTACGTTAAGTATGGTAAGAAGGGACGAATGTTGTACGTTCAATCAACTTTGTAAAACTTCCGATAAACTATATTTTTTTTATTAAATTTGGCTATTATCCTCCGAAAGATGGCGTTGATAGTTATTAATAGGGTGCCATTCTAATATTACTTACATTATGAAACTCATTTGTTAATTGTAGTCCACAGTTTATTAGAACATCTGTGTTTTAATAACTCTTATTTCGATACTGATCTCAGTTTTTAAATTTGACTTCAGCAAATCAAAGTCGAAAACAGATGTTACATTTCTTCTCTAAATGTTATTTGACTCCAAAATGTATGAATTTCTTGGTATATTTGCATACTGTATTCAAAAAAATGATAATCCACGTTTTCCTTCTTTTTCAGAATTCTATTTCCAACGACGAGGTCCCTGTAAATGGCCAAATAAATAAAATCAACCATGTTCATTATATTTAACTGCACAATAAATTATGTTTATTTCCATTTATTTATGTTTTCAATTTCTTGTTGACACACTAATTCCTCACCAGTTAAGTATTTAGCTGATGAGCTGAAATATCTCCATCTGAAGATGTTACATTACTTGTCAAATTTCAAAAAAACGTTTTAAATCTTTTGAAAATCAACGATTTCAAATCTGTATTAAAGGAGGAGCTCCTAGTTATTTTCGAGCTTAACTAAATTTGCTGATAAGATAATTAGTACCTACGTTCTTGAATACAGGCTCCCTTTTCATATAAGTCCCTATTGGGTTTTAGAAATAAAAGTTCGGTCAACTTAGGTATGTACTTTCAAATCTTATTCATTCCAATAATATTGAACTAAAACTGCAGATTTCCTGTAGTTTTCATTGTCAGTAGATCCTAACGCCCCTGCAGGTGGGATGTCAGAAACAAAAATATATATCCATTGTTAACATTTGACATATTTTTACAAAAAATCGCTTCAATTGGAGCTACACGTATGTTAAACTCTTTTCTTCATTTTTGTCTCCAACTTTTGAAAAAAAAGAAGCTGCTATGCCACAAATTTTGGTACTTTCTGCATGGCTGTAGGGTAAATCTCCATGGCACTCACAACAAGCTCTTCTGGATTTTATAACTTGCACGTTAGGTCATCTCAAATAACACTAGGGAACAAACAAATGATAATACCTCCAGAATGAAAGTAGGTGATTTCAAAGGAATCCATCGTGTTGGTTTCGAAAATCATTATAAAAATGTGTCTATCAAGCAAGGTTTAAAATACATGAATATATTTTGTAATTGAAACAAACGAAATCCTATACTTATTTCCGAATTGTTACTCCAGTTATATTACAACAAACCTTTATTCTGCATACGAGGTAAGAACAAGTTAAAAATGGAATACGCATATTCGTGCAATAATACCCAAACATTAAAATGATTTGTTGAGATTTTCCACAACATTGGTAGAACGAATGACAATGATTTGAGTTTTCCATACAACGACACACTGAGGTTCATTGTACACCTGACAACACTAGTGAGTAGCTCATGGTTTGTCGTGATGACAAACATGACAGCCAAAGTATCAATAGTTCGCAAGTTTTGTAATTTCATTTTTTTCCTTCGACGTTTGGGTGGAAATGTGAAATGATTTGCATTTTATCGAACCGATTCAATTCTACAGATCATGTAGTGAATTTTACTTATAAAACAGAACTGTAATGTCTAAATATATTGTATTTTACGCACAAGCAAACCTGACACGAACTACAGTTCCGCATGACACCGTCTGACTCAGAATCTGCCACCTCAACAGTTCGATCCTTGCGATAAGGTAAAGGGCTAAAATAATGCTTTTTGGTGACGCGCAGTAGGAAATAAGAGGGCGCACGTGATTTGTTTTCAAAACATCCACTATGACCTACGGAGACCACTACAACCTATTCGTAGTTCAGCGCGACTACCAGACGCGAAAAAAAATGCAATCTTCCAATAAAGAAGGTAAAAAAACAAACACAAAAGCCTTATTTTGTTGACATCTCCTGAAAGTGGCACAAAAAAACTGAACAAATATTTTATTTAGATTTATAGATTTTACGAGTATAGATATCATGATATCTTACAGGTGCAATTTAATTTGTATTTGTATTAATAGAAAAGCACGAAATGAAACGGTACAAAGATACGGTATATTTAAAAACTGTGATATGATATGACATTTTATTGTAATATTCATAATCTATGTATAAAATTGAATATGTTGCGCACTCTACCTTCCTTAAAGTAAAAATCTTGCTCCCTGGTGTAATTATTTACATTCAACCAATTATATTTGGTGAATCTCACACGTTAATCCATCACTCAAAAACGACATATTTCTGTATCATCTGAACGGTCCTCGAAAGTACAAGAAAAAAGATTTCATAATTAAATAACAATCTACATTAACATTATTTTTATCCCAAGGAAATGAATACGTAAGTATGGTTCTCCGTTGTCTAGTTTAATGGGAAAACCTGCTGCATTCCAAGCGCTCTAGTGATATGACTGCACTAGAGAAACTGAAATAGTTCACGAGATTCTTTAAATTCATGATTTTAAATGTTATTCCAAAACCTGAAATTGTGTGACTTTTACAGCGGAAAAAGATTTATAATTATGTTGTGTGAAAATAAAATAAGTATAATTTTAAAATGTTTTTGATATTATTTTATTTTTCTTACATTTACTTTCCTTTCAAACAACTCAAATTATTTCTGGCACTTCCGTTTAATATTTATATAGTGTATAAGGCACTTCACAGCACAAGTTCAAAAGCACTGCACAGTTAACTCAGTCTATACTTACAATTCGACCTAGTTATGCCAAGTTTAGTTCAGGAGAATAAAGGACTGAACATAAAATTTGAAAATCAAAGGAATGAATCTTATTGCCTATGTTACTCAATGTCATCTCTCAATTCAGAAGCCTAATGACACACAAAGTGGAAACCAAAAGTGTTTAGACGACTGCAATAAAACAGATAATATAGACTTATATGGGCATTTTTACATCCGTACCGGCGCTAGTGATGCATAGAGTCCATCTCACGATTCACCGCTGTAACGTACCCACACACCGTTCCTGGAAGTCAACGCTGACCTCTCCATTGCCCGTCGACACCGCTCCCATTTGGAAGCCGTGGATGTTGCATCTGTCGACACCACCCGGGCTGAGCTCTGCTGCTGCCGCGTTCACCGCCGACCCCGCTACGGCAACTTATCCACTGGAGACCTGAATTGGCTGTACTTGCACTGGAGTTGCAAAAAGGCTCCCCCTTTTCTATATTTTTTTTATTTAGTTAAATATATTAGTTTTCTAAAACTTCACTTACTGAATATAACCAACCTTCATAAAAACCAGCCTTCATAAAAAAGGTACCGATAATTTTTTTTTGTGAATACACGCCTTCTTCTCTATAACAAATTTACACGTTTTAAAAGTCTTTAGAAAATCTGTTTTAGGGCTGTTGCGAAGCTTCTATTTCATAGCATTCTGAATGTCTTCCACTGACTATAATAGCTCATTTTAATAAAATAGTCGGATTGTTGAACAACACCGCGTTCCAACAATGGCAATATTTTCAATAATGTTCCGAGCAATCATCCCAAAGAGGAAACTGTCCGCTGACAATGCGATTCCATTCTTTTGTTCTGAGGCGCAGAGCGACTGTGCGACTGCTGAGCGAAACTTGTTTTCTAAATCACGTGCTTCAAGTCTCGGAACTGACTTCTTATCAACACACAAACCATCGGCAGTGAACAACGAACGGATTCCATATCATTCTCTGTTCTAGCAGACCAAGGATGACCTCTTCTAGTGTTGTACCTTCGCCCAGAAAATCAACCAATACACGTTAACATGATTTACGACATACTGTATATTTCCTGAATCTTTCCCAGCTCCTAAAGCTCTTTTACAGACTTAAAGGCAAAAATTGCTTGCCAGTCATCCGTTATGGCAATGACAAGGTGAGAAATCTCTTGCAATCTGTATTCGTGATAACAGGTATAACGTGTTACACAAGGAACTGGGCTATTAAGTTCCAAAGAAGTCGCTAAATAGTAGCCATTTTAAAACAAGTCGTCTAAAGACGTTTGAGTGGACCTTTTACACGAATATCAGTTTTGCATGGTAAGTGCACTAATAGGTTTAACTTCAATCATTTATGATTCGTGATAAAAACACTGAACTTAAAATCAGAACTTGTAGAGTTCACAATGGTAGTGTAAGTTACCCTTTACGGAGGTACAGCAACGAGATAATATGTTCCCTCTGCCCTGCAAAAGGAAAAAAACGGTAAGACAACAACACTTGTGTAAAATTGTGAAAATAAAAGGAATGAAGAGAATGAAATGAATAAAGATACGTTATCGAATAATGTTTTTTTCATTCAAAGCCAATTTAATATTAGCAAAAAAAGACTAAATATGAACAAAAAGGTGGAATGGTTTTGTGACTCTCTTCGAACTTCGAATAAATTCCTGATTCACGTTTCAATTTTTTTCGATAGTAGGTGATTATTATTGCTCATACATTTTGATACTGATTTGATTCAGATAGTGTTTTCAAAACTACATTGAATTCACAATCACTCGACAATTTGGTGACATGCGTGAGTTTTACGAACAATCACTATCGAAATTGGGCGCTGGGGATGCAGTATAAAGCCCAGAAGCAGACAGATAAAAAAGTAACTAACCCTAACTTCAAAAAATAATTTGTCAAAATAGATATTCTGCTTGCAATGTGACAACATAAGAACTTTATATTATTTAAATTGCATTTTTAAAATTTCTCAGAAAGTAATCTAATTTTTCTTTCGTTTTTAGCGTTTATGGGCACCTGAACCTAAAATGGCTGCGTGACATTGAAAATGCGTGCGCGTTCAGAAATGTGCCAATAAATAAAAAGAAACCAACAAATTTAAAATCAACCAGTTTTAAGCATTGAAAAACACGTAACTCAATATTCAAGAAACAAATAAAAATCCATTTTTCATCATTCTGGAAAAACAATGAGGTAGACGAGTACCTTAGTCATGAAACAGCACTCATATACTTTAATTTAGAAGGGTGACTTGAGCTCAAAAGAATTTTAAACGCCGAGTTTATGACAGAAGATTCGAGTCCGTACTCTCCAAGTGATTCCAATATTTTTTCTCTCTACACTACAAGGAGGGAAAGTAAAAACATACAGATTTGACATTGAAAGAAACGGACAGCAAGCATTATTATTTGAGAAACTAGTGGTGTCAAAACAGTTCATTCTCGCTTTTTTTCTAACTTTTCTAACGTTTGGTATCCAGAAATTCAGAGCGTTAGGGATTCATATTGAAACTGCCAAATGTCAATTTCAAATTGGAAGGGCATTAATTAGATTGATCATGGAATGTCAATTTTAATGAACAGACGAACGGATTGAAGGACGAACAGACGGACGCACTGACGGAATAAGACAAATCCATAGGCAGACATACGCACAGATGGACGAAAAAGTGTTTCACCGAACTTGTTGTATCGAGGTTATAAAACTGAGTATTTAAGTAATTGACTAGATGTAGGAGCAAGTAAAAATCCATCGCAGGGACCTACGCCATTTTTGTCCCGCACTTCCAATTCCTTCTGCAGAGAAATGGGAAGGAGTCGCACCTGCCGGGGTCGGGGAAGCCCATGTAGGCGACGGTGGCGGGCGCGGACGGGCAGAGCCCCCACTGGAAGTGGAACCAGCTGGCGCACGGCGCGGCCGGGTAGCGCCGCTCGTCCAGCACCGACGCCGCGTAGAAGCGCCACGAGTGCGCGTGGCTGCAGAACTCTGCGAAGTCACGTGACCAAACCAGGGCTATTGAATACTCTCTTGGCTTACAGGGGGGAGCGATTCCCTTCAACTCTCACTTGTTTCTGATCTCAAAACGCTTTCTACACACGTTCCGATGCAGAGGAGCGTCGCCAGATCTAGACCAGGGTTGTCCAACTGGCGGCTCGCAAGGTCATTTTTTGGGACCCGCGAAACTTTATGAGTCAAAACGGAAAGCCCCTTTCATCCATTGCGAAAACAATGTGCGCCTAACGCACGCGCCCTGCTGAGGTCAATAGCCCCATTAATGTAAAGATTTAACAATTTTTTTTCGAGTAAATTCAGACATTCCTAATCATGCTAATGTGTTTCACTGCTTAACTTGTGGCACAGCCAAATATCTTGCATGGTTCCATCATCCCTCCAGTTTCAGAGTAGCCGGGCAAAGTGTCGAGATTAGCAATACGGGGAAGTCAGGTGTGGATTCGAGTAATGAAAATATGTCCCGCAACTATATTAAAGGTTTTAGTTGTGGGTCTTGAGACCTTCAATGTTGGACTCCCCTGATGTAGACGTTCTTGCCTTTTTCTAAACGGCTATCTAGTGACGAAGTGTCTTATTTGATGACGTCTAAGCCTTCGAAAACTGCTCATCAGATTACGAGTACCAAATACATTGGTAAAACGGTAGCAATCACAGTCATTTGCACGGATAATCGCCTTTTAACAGATTACATTGATACCCACCTGATTGAACTGTTTTGTTGGGAGTGTCGAAGCTGGGAATAGACGATATGAAAGCTGTAAAAGAAACAGACGTGGTTAAAATTGAGAGATATTAGAAATCCTTCCAACCCATTTAATAAAGGGAAATTGCATTGAACGTATGTTTATTATAGTAGTTAACGAAACGAGTGAATAAATAGGCGTATGCACGATGTGGTATGATTAAAGAAACGAGCGACGACAGGAGCGAGTTTCATTATTTCCCACGAGTCCAATTATACGCATTTTTACACGTGTTAGGTTCAATATTTTTTTCGTTTCCATTCAAAAATATTTTTAATTTTAATAATAGAAATATATCTTCAGCATTCCATATTTACTTTGATTATATTTTCATTCCGAAGAAGATCAATTTTAATAGTCCTTGCCTGTGTATTTAAGATCACCATAGTGACTTAATGAATTTAAATAGCATGCATTACAATAATATTCCGGACGAAATATTAAAAGAAGCTAAAAACGCAATAAATGCATTGCTCCCTACAAAAGTTAAGATGTCTATGAAAAATAATATAATCTATACAAGTCGTGGAAAATCGCTAAGGGAGTCACACATAGTAAGTAAGCTAGTGCATAAATGTTTGTTTTTCATATTACACGGAACCTTTGAATTTTAATTTATTTTATTTATTTGTGTTTCCGTAGAAACCTAATTAAACGATTTTGAGCCTTTTGTCCACTTCTCATTGGTAGTTGCGTGGTTTTAATTGCACACGTAAAGTAATGATAATAAACGATTTTTCATGTCATTAATGAGCATAATTCATGTACAAAACGAAAAAAATACTTAAGAATTGTATGCATACAAATAACGTGTACCAAGGGATATACGTCGTCAGGACAACGAGTCAACAAACTTTATTTTCCGTCCTCGAAGGTCTGAAGATCTGATATTCTTGAGCAAAGCATGTCCCCGGGACATAATGATGAATAAATAACAAAACGGCGTTGAATATCTAGATTCCGCGATTATTTAGAATGGGTCAGTCTCTCTCTTGGCAGCAATGGAAGTGGATAGTAATACTTTTGCAGACTTAGGCTGGGTAACATTTTGGTGTTAGGAAACTGAAACATGTTAATTATGTGATTTGTTTATGTGTAGTATATAATTAGTAATTTGAGGGTACCATACTTAGCTTGTGTTCCAATTTGTGATTTTGAGGATTCATTTAAAATAGACTTTGTATGAGGGGAATCCATGTAGAATAGATTAGTAACTGGCCATACATATTGTTTTAAGTTAAAAAAAAATGACAGGCAGTCGCGAGTAGGCGCTTAATCCGAGTCGCCGGAAGGGAAAGTCGTTTAGGCATTAATTCATTATAATATATTATTATGAAACGGTTAGTAACTGACGACGACAGCAGGAGCATCGCGAGGATGGCATCCGGACGGAAGGCCTCTCGAAAACCGGAGTAGAAGATATTTCCGTACGATTACCAACACTGATACAAGTAATACCGTACGGAATTTGTGAATAAACAAATTAAAGATAATTCTAATCATTAAAGAGCTCAAAGACTAAAAAACTGTAAATCTGTCGAATAAATGTTAACTTTCTATAAAAAAAATTAATAAGGCTGATATTTGTAGAAGTTGCCATCAACTTTTCAATAACAGGGCAATACAGCAGAACTTTCAGGAATTGCGGCTCTGTACAGAGTCGGACGTCCACATACAATAGTAAAAATAGGAAGGTAAAGTGTTATATGCCGAACCCTGGTTTGTAAAATAAATGTAATGTTTGAAATAACAAAATTCATTAATATGGTAATAAATGTAATATTAACCGGAGAACCTAAATAATTAAATTACAATATATCGAAAACTATCCCAATATATTATCGTTAAACAATTTTCGTTTTTATTATATTCTAAAGGATTGAAAAGTTGTAGTATAGTTTTGGTATTTTCCATTTCTAACAAATTAAATTAATGAAGACAGTTTCAATAAATTAGCAAAGCAAAAACTCCTGGAACTTACCAGTGACGTATTATTCCGTTCTTGTGTATACTATTTAATATGCTCAGAACATTTCTATCTTTCATTGGCTTGGTGGTGTTGGCCAGGCTCCAGTCGTGTGGTCGTATTAAGGAATGTGGTCGTTTTAAGCAGTGTTGAATGCAATCCATAAGGAAATGCGGTCGTATTACACAGGGTCAGATACAATTCGTAATAGAAGACGGTCTATTATATAGGGATGAATTCAATTCGCAATGAATGTGGCCGTATCATGCAGGATTGCAATTCTTAAATGAATCTGGACGTAATATGTGAAGTTGGATTTAATTTATGAAGGGATGTGGTCGAATACAATCCGTGGAGGAATGCGGTCGTGGGCGGGTTGAATGCGTACCGTCGCCGGCGCAGACGTCGCGGGGGGCGTCGGGGGCCGGGGAGCAGCCGGGCTGGTAGCGCGAGCCGCCGTTGGGGAAGAAGTCGACGGTGCCCGTGGGCGCGCGCACCCCGTAGAAGCCGCCGTCCGAGTGGATCACCACCACAGCCCGCGCGTCCTCGCGCTGCAGGTGCGGCGACCCCACGCCCTCGAACAGCGGCCGCGCGGGGTCCAGCGCTGCCAACCAAACACAACCAATTTTTACTTTCTCGCTACGGAGTAGAGAGAAAGTTATGTAAAGCTGCGTGAAAAAACGGCGAATTTTCGGCAGAGAAACTCTTATTACAGGGCCCTGTTAACGAAAAAGCGGATAAATCCAGTTGCAAATTTAGAAGCAAAAATAACCAACACTTGGTGTAGCCATAATCCATGTTTTGTGGGTTCTTAATACCGAAATATCGAATGATAGCACAACGTCTGTCTGAACACCGATAGCGGCTAAACCATTAGGCTGCCAAAATTGGTATTTCCCAATCGCTCTGGCTGATATCGCGTCCATTTGAATTTGAAACTGGTATTTTAATTGGAGTTGGTGTGCTTTACATAACGCCTCTGGGATATTTTCAAAATTTTCAAAATAATGGCTCCATTGTTTTTTATTAAATGTTTTTGTTGGATAGTGTGAAGGACGTTTAAGAGAATGGTGCAGGTCTCATTTACAGGCATCCTACCAGACAATTTCTAACTCGCAAATAGTCACTTACAATTTTACGAATTGTATTACAGTAACGCCATTTATCCCTTTTGGGGGTGACACTAATGAATACAATGCTAATTTGCAGTGATTCGAGAAGTGAGGAATGGGAATGATGGAAAGCTTGAATTATGTGCCTGTAACAATTTGGCAGTTGGGTGTGGTTTGGCATGCCCTACCATCAGCTAGTGAGGTTTTACTCTCCTAGGTATCTCCCACCAACGTGGCACCGTTCCAGTCGGGAGCTCCAAGCTTCCGACTGGTTTCCCGGTATATGTGGTAGTGTAGAGCATGTGAGTGAGTCTAAGTGATGAGGGTAGGACTAGGAATGGGAAAGAAAGATCGCGCGCGATCCATGGCCCGTTTGGGCCATGGATCCCAGGCTCCGAGATTTGCCTGGTGGTGATCGGAGAAACCTCAACACACTACTGACCGTAGCAGCCGGCCGCAAGAATTCTCCTACACGGCGAAAGTACTCTACCTAATCATGTTGCTAGTGTCGAAAATCTTCCATTTTCAGAGACTCGAACCTCAGGGTCTCCCGGACAGACGCACTGCAGTGACATCAGCTGATGCCTTGAGCAACCTCTTCCGGTTTCATCTTTGGAATGAGGTAACAAATATGTGAAAAAAGTATGTATGCCTTTGATCCATGAATGCAGCATCTGGAGCTGTGAGATTAAGTACGAGCGAAACAGGAAAGGGCGACGGAAGGTGGGCTCTCAGAACGTGCTGTGCGCATTGTGCGTGTGCGCGCAATATGCGTAACGTGCCCATTAAAGGGGAGGGCTCGTAGCAAAATTCGTAACAAATGCTACCCTTGTGGCATTTGCCCCTGACTTGTAGGCAACCCAACATGCAGTATTGTTTAGCTGGTAAAGGAAAGCTCTTTAACTGTATCAGAACGTGATTGTCAAGGAAACAACGGACCTATCGCCGTCAATCAGGATCAAATCACATGTGTAAATTCGTTATATGTGATTTTCCACCACATGATCGTTTAAAAACTAATGGCGGTACATGATTACACAGAATGGCATTTTTTCGTTCTAGTTTCGTTAACTCTTTAGACTAGGCTAGCTTCGGTATTGTTTCACCCTCTTCTTAGTTCTACCTATCGGTGCTCAAAAGACATTTTCTCCCCATTTTCTTCATTTTACAGTCCTCTAATAGCAGTATTTATTGCAATTTGACCTTCAAAATTTTACAGCTTAGTAAAACTTGGTTCAATACGCAAATTTTAATGGACAACAATTATGCATTTTTGACAAAATAGCATTTCACAAAAAGTGCAATGCTGACCCAATTTTAAGAGGAAAAGTTTGAGTTTCGAAGAAACATCAGAAAAAATCTAATGAAGCACTTGTAATCACAAAAAAAATATTAAGAAAGAATGTAAACGTTAACGTCTACAGATATTTTTTTAACATTTTTTTCATTTGTGTTATTTTCGAATAATCAAAATAGTTTATCACAATGGTGTTTATGTCATGTTATTTGGTTGATTTAGATCCATCCTCACAAAGTGTTTCTGGAAAAAATTAATGTGAGAAAATGTTTTTAAAGAGTTGACAGTTTTTGAAAATGCGCAATTTTGAGTTTAAGACATGTAGAGATGTGATCTACATCTCTTTTGATTACTTTCCAGGAGGCCAATGAATTGGCATTATTTTTGTCAGAACATTCTAGAAATCCACAAAAACATGTTTTTTGTGTGTTTCAAGGTACCTACGAGGGGTGAAACGCTGTGAATGACTACACTAGCATCCCGAAAGAACGTGACAAAAATGCAACGACCACACATTTTTTATTAATTAATCGATTTTTTTTATTTAATATGCTCTAAGGTGAAAAGGCCAGACAACTGTACGTTAATGTTTATTTTTGTTAAGAACTTGCTTAGCAGAAATGTTCAAAATAACTACAAACTTTTAAAATAATTGAACGCGATGGAGACGCCACAACTAGCTAGGCTACAAAATATTGGATCAATTGATTAATTAGTGTATTCCGGCGCTTCAAATGCTGTCATTATTCCCAAAAGTGTAGTGCACAAATTTTTTGCTCGGGAGGTGGCGGTGATCTTCCCCCGCTCGTTGGCGTAATTCAGCGCCGAGCTTCATGTCGGGTAGTGGGGTTTCCCCAACCAGGTATCTCTCAAAGCGGCGCACTATTCCCGCCGGGACAACTCAAGGCTTCCGACAAGTGTAGTGTTCTCCCCCTCTCCCGCCAGAGACACAGCGCCGATCCGGGGTCGGCCAGCGGGTTTTCCCTTAACCAGGTATCTCCCATCAGCGGGGCACCGCTCCAGCAGGGACAAGCTGTAGGCTCCCGACTGGTCTTCCGGCATGTGTGCTTGTGTAGTGCGTGGTAGTGTAAGTGTGTGTAAGGGGAGAGGATAGGAGAAGGAAGAGGTAGGAAAGATCGCGGCGGTCCGTGGCCCGTTTGTTAATGTACTGCTCCGGCATTCGCCTGGTGTTGATCGGAGAAACCACGGAAAACTACCCATTACATGAGCCAACCGCTAGAATTCTCCAGAAGACTGCGACTGAATTCGACCTAACTGACAAGCTACGAGTAATGTCGAGTTCGTAATGTCGAAAATCCTGCCTCCGTCGGGACTCGAACACAAGACTTCCCAGCTCCCACAGAGACAACGGTTGATATCCTAAACCGGTGTATTATAGGTTGCTGTGCTGGCCAATGAGGACGCGGAGCTCACCCGTGATGCGCGGGAGGCGTCCGACGGTCAGCGCCTTGCCCACGTGGCCGGCGCACTGCCCGCCCAGGCTGTGGCCCACCACGTGCACGTGGCTGAGCGGTTGGCCCGCGCGCACCAGCGCGTCCAATCCCCGCGCCACGTGCAGCCCCGTGAGCGGCGCCAGCACCGCTGCCTCGCGGTACGTGCGGTTGCACACCTCGCTCCAGTCCACTGACAGTACGTTGTGGTCCCCGCGCTGCAGGTGCGCTGCACACACACCATCGCTTAGCAACTCACTTCTACACTTGGATTTTAACATAACCGCACTTGACCGAAATCAACTGGTGCGGTGTCATTCAATGGGGAGGTTGAACGCCAACAATGGCGTCACTGTAGTGACGCGTAAGCTCCCCATTGGATGACACTGTGAGAGCTGACGACTTCGTCAAATGCAGATCTAAATAACTGGACTTATACACGTAGTCTTCATGGGGGGAGATGGCTCACATTTAAAGGAGATAGTTTGCAAGGAGACAAATATTTGTTGTGACTGAAGATAGGGGTCATCGAAATACCGAAAACTGTTATCCCAACTGCAAAGTCTGTCACCCAAACGATAAGAACACGTCTAATGTGTGGGCTCTATGCGCACAGCTTGAACATTTGTGTGACCAGCCCTTGCTTATAGGTGATAAAACGTAACACGTATACACGTGTGGTACATTATACTTATGTGGTCAGTATCAGGTACGTGCTCATCAGTTTTGATTTGTTGTATTGAATATTTTAGTTTAATTTACCACAATGCATCATATGCATTTATTATCAATTTCGAAGTCTACAATATCCCTTTAAATAGGTTTTTAAACGAAATTAATCTGAGGAGACACAGAGAATTTACAATCACGAACATTGGTGCAAAGTTTAATTGGTATATTCCAGAATTTAATTGATATAGTATATAGTTTATGTAAAAATAATAAAGCACCTTAAATAATTGTTTATGTGAGCAGGTGCGTACAACACATGAATTGATGTCAAAATATTTTTCGTAAATTTGTAATTTAAATATTGAAAAATAATTATTAGACCTTTTATTCAAATTACGAACTTTAAATATTTTAGATATGATCATGTTCTCCATAAATGAAATTTTTCTGTCAATAAATATTTGTAAATTATAAGTGATAATAATTTGTAAATATTTTGAACAAAACCGCTCACAAATTTTCACAAACTTGAAAATTAATTAGTCGGTAGTTTTCAAAAGTAAATTTTGAGTATAAACACAAAATATGAATAAATATTCTATTAAAATTAGCTAATTAGTCCTAAATATTTTAAATAAAAGGCTTATTTATAACCGTCAATTTATCATATTATTAAAGTACATGCGATTCTTTTTTCTGGTAAACCAGTTTACCTGGCAACAGCTGGCTGTCGGAAAGTTGTCTATTGATATCGGCTGGCTTGTCTATTGACATCGTGACAAACCCTATGCAATAGTTTGTAGGACATTGAGCTGCCCGGTAAACGTCTCGTTGCATCAGCCATGGGGAAGGGAAATTTACATTAAGTACATTTTTCTGTGTCATTTGTGTTTCCTTTCTTTAAAAGTGAAATAATATTAATTAATTACGTGTAAATATTTTATTATCGGAAGAACACTTGGAATATTAGTAGATGAATATGCATTGAAGACTTCCGGCATACACACCATGGACTCGTGCTAATGGTTAATACAGAAAACAGAAAATTGCGTCAATATGAGTGGCTTTCATGTGAACTGACTGATTGTTTTTCCCTGAGGGTTGAGACGCAGCATGAGCTCTCAAATGTAAACTTCAGAAAAGCTGAATAAGTCATGTACAAAGCGATAAAAGCGTTCATAACGAATTTGACTACCACCTGCTCTCTTGTGGCGAGGCGATGAACCACGTGGAGGGGTGTTTTCGGCGCATTATACTTCGGTTTTTAGAAAGTGGCCCTTCAAGATCACGAACGAAAAAGGGAGAGGACAGGCACGCTCTACTGGGGAGCTGCAACGTCACTGAGTGTAAAGACGTTTTAGCTCCCTATTGGAGTCTGTCTTCCTTCTCCCTTTTTCGAGCGTGACCTTGACAGGCCACTTAAAAAATGTGCCACGGACTTTGAGTGGTGACGTAGACCTTTATATCCCTGTTGAACACCTTTCGTTTGTGGGAAACGAACTGAAGAAGGAGATGCGTGTGGTGCGGGAGGAGTCGTCACAGCGCGCTCTACCTGAGACCACCGTCACGACGCTCTCCTTCATGGGCGTCTCCGTGAAGCCGTGCAAGTAGAGCAGCGTCCGCCTCGAGAGGTCGTAGCGCGGGTGTTGCAGGACGTCGGTAATGTTCGAGAGCGGAAACGTCTCGTAATCGTACGCAGTGGTTCTTAAAAAGAAAGAAAATTCGACCATTATCATGTCTCGCATCACATTCCACGTCATCGGAAATAATTACACGCCACTTACCCAGAATAAAAATATATTATTATCTTGTCAGGAAAGTTCACCACTGGAAGACAAATTACAAGAAGCTGTGATAAGAAATCTGATACACTGTCAAGTATACCATGTTTAAAAACAGTTTTAGAGGCAACACAAAACATAATATGTTATGAATATTATACATTCTCAGTTTAAGAGTACCATAATATTTTTAATTTTTTCTGACACGTTATACCTTGTTATTGCCTTTGATACGCGGCCCGATATACTCTGCAATAACTCACCTGGATCGAAAGGATCGTGGTTACGAGGGAAATATGAAAACATTCGAATTATGCTACATAGTTCTCTCATGGAGGGAATTATGAAAGGGTATTATGGGACGACAAATATGAAAATACAGAGTCAAGTTAACATCTACATAATTAGTAAATAAATAAATCTGAATCAATAAAATTAGGTAAAAAATAAAATTATGTATGTAACACGGGCATAGCCATCGGACATTTTGTCGCCACCCGATCATTAGAACCCTTATAACGCCCTTGGTGCATAAGTAACTTTTTGTATACCAACGTTATAAATGACATTTTCCTTCCCAACAAAGCATTCATAAAAGGGCACTTTATGACACGGCCCAACCATCCTGCCCGTCCTCAGCAACCATCCCCAGAGCTTGTTCTCACTGCCCGCCTTCATCGCGACCTCACTACTCGCCCTCCCTGCTCGTCCTCACCCCTCGTCCTACCTGCCCGTCCAACTTGCACCTGCTCCGTGCCCCACCCGTGACGTCATATTATCAACACCTTATGATGCCTTCTACAAAACGGCTTTTCAAATTTGTTTCCCAAAATTAACTCCGGATCTTTTGCAAATTTGTAAGGATGTCATACAAAACGTAGCGTTTCCATCTCTTCTATAAGGTAAATTTATTGCATTCGTACACATTTGAAAACATACTTCTAACTTCGCTCGTTATCAAAACGTGTACTTATGCACTAAAGCATAACATTACAAACTAGTTGCGTAATATATTATTAATACTAACATATTGCAATAAGAAACAAAAGTATTTGAAATGTTGAGCTCCTATATTCACGACAAACATTACTACTTAATACAAACTGGTAAGAACGTTTTATACAGATAGAGCGTACAACACCACGGACATTTTTAAAGAATCTAACAATTACATCTTTGCCTTGTAGATTTTCTTCTGCATTTAAACAACGTAGTGGCCTGCCAATATAACTTGAAATTAACGTCTCCCTATAGCACGTCACACACAATTTTTAACTATTTTGGCGTAAATAAATAAATAAAAATAAATAAAAAAAGTAAATATTTGACCAAAATAAAATTCATACAATAACATATTATAAGAGGGTCTAGCGGCCCCCATGTGTTCTCACCCAGGTCCTGAGGGACATCGGCGCAAATGTTGTCCAAGAGACAGACCGGCACGTTTTTCAACTCCGCCGCCGCGTCTGAAACGGAGCGCATCTGAAGCGGGTAATTAGCTGCCACCGGGCTACACCCAATTGCAGTTTCAAGAAAGTTTTGATATCTTATCTTATAGCATTTAAAAACTAGGTACTTTATATATTATAAAAAACATTTCCCGTCTTTGCCATCTTAAGCGTGCCTCCGCAGCCACAGACACAATCTCAACAGGGACTGAGTCCACAAGAGCCCGTGATCAGGAATACGAACGGAAAGGCGAACGGAAAGGCGAACGGAAAAGCGAACGGCCGTAGTTAAGGCCGTAGTTAAGTCAGTATTAAAGTCAGTATTAAAGTCAGTATTAAAGTCAGTATTAAAGTCAGTATTAAAGTCAGT